TCCCAAAAGGAAAAACAGTTACTGAAGGACAGGAGTCCCATGGGAGTGTCAGGGGGAAGATCGGAGACAGAGGTGTAAATTCCATGCCTGTTGTTCAGCTGCAGAGGTGAGACTCAGAAAGCAACATCACTTTTATGACACCTTAGCATTCTCCAAGAACCACTTGCTGAAGACAAGACTTCTCACTGGGTCAAAAGCCTTGCACACTGGCTATCCAAAGCCCTCCTCAATCTTGCCTTCCTCTTCTGCCTACCTTGCCTCTCTGTAGGGAGTATGGTGAGCTTTGGGATCTAACTGGTCCTCAGCGCTGGTTTGAAGAAATAACAGTCCATCTCTCCCCTCACCACTTTTCCAGCCACATTGGCCAGCCATATTGTGACTGATCCATCCAAAAGTGAAAGATTGTGGTTCACAGTGTCTCTGGGCCCCCTAGATTCAGTTCAGTCTCAGCTAATTTTATCCTGCTGTGCCCCAAAGTTACAACATACCTACATACATACAATTTCCATTGACAGCTTTCTTTTGAGGGTAGGAAAAGAAAGAAAAAGTGTTTCTAATGCTCTATTTGCTTGTTTGCATCTTTACTGCTTGTTGTTTATTTCATGGAACAGAAAAAGCAAAATTATTCCAAACTATGACCTCTTCCTGGACAGTTTGTAAAAGCTGAAGCCTGTGAGGAAAAGGCCTGCTCTACTTTGTGCTCTTCTCTCTTCTATGCCATAGTGCCACTGGCCATCTTGGCAAGTGAAGAGGTCTAATGCTCATACTATCGAAGAAGCAGGGCTACCTGTGTTGAACATACTTTAGTGGAAGGTTGCCAAGGGGCAAGTTGAATGACCTTGTGAAAGGAACAGCCCCTGGGGCTTGTCTGGATAAAGTCCAAGGCATCTGATTTTTGAATGCAAGATCTAGATAGCAAACTGCAAAGCCTCAGGGGCGGGGATGGAGGTGGGGTGGTGAACTAATGACCAGCTTCCTGCCATGCAGTAGAGTCGAGAACTAGACACAAGTAGCCCACACTTGATGCCTAGAGATCCCAGAAAAGCATCCTAAGACACATACCCCAGGGGTGGGCGTGTGGTAACAGTTGCAGTAAGTGCACAGCTGCTGTTTCCTCTCAGATGTGGACAGAGAGAAGGAGAAGAAACACAGAACAAAACCATTGAATGGCTGCTTTGTAGTATCAAGCCATTAGAATTTTCTAGAGCAATTTTTTTTTAATCCCTATTAAACAATGGGGAGACCAAGGCTCTCAGAAACCTTCCTGGAGTTAACAAGAGCAAAACAGTAATGCCAACACCTATCCATCAGAGGTTGAGTCCTGTGTTTTCCCCAAACCTCCTTCCCAGGAATCCAGAGGCAGAGGCAGAAGGATCTCTGTGAGTTCGAGGCCAGCCTGGTCTACAGAGTGAGTTCCAGGGCAGGCTCCAAAGCTACATAGAGGAACCCTGTCTCAAAAGTAAATAAATAAATAGGTAAACTAGAAAATAGAAATTCATTTTAAATAATATGCAACATGTGGTCATGATAATTGCAACAATTAGTAATTTATCAGTTATCAGTATCTAGAACGCCAGAGGTCCTGGCATCAAACATGATAGGATATGCCTCAACATTAAATGTGGAAAAGTTTGAGGGATGGTCCTTAGCTTTCTTCTGAGCCAAAACTTAGACAAATTCCCTTTCCTAGTGGAACCCACCTCTCTCCATACACTCCTCTGCACCATGGAAGCCATGGCTTGACAAAGCAGCATGCTCCTCCACAGAAGGGACCCACTGTGAGATAGTTCTTCAGGTTGAGCTAAATCTGCCTCCCTGGTCCCTCTAATTTTCAATAATTAGTCTCTTTTCTGGCCTATAAAGTAACTCACAATAAATCTTTCCCTTCTCTGAAAGAATGATTGAAGGCCACCATTGTGTTCATGTTCTATTGCATCTTTATAGATAAGTATCTCGCAAATCCGTCAACATTCTGATAGAGATGGTCTCCAGACCCATATGCTCTGTTGGTGTGCTGGAAGCTCAACTTTCTTCTTGCTCCCACTATGAAGCAAGAAGCTCCCAGCTGCTTCCAAGGTTTAGGACTCTATAATTCAACTTAGTCTGACAACAGCTCTTAGAAATCTTGTCATATTGTCACCTCAACTTTAGCCTACATCTAAGGACCTCTAGGTCACAGGAATTTCTGTAGGCAAGTGTCACTCAGTATGAGCCCAGTTGTCTGCCATCTTGATTACAGAGGCCTATTTCACACTCATCACTCCAAGGTCCTATTGTACAATGGAGCAACAAGTCATCGGGACTTGGAGACATGAGCTCACTTAAGTGGCTCTGCTGTCTGGGTGACTTCTCTCTTGTTATAAGCTTCAGGACTCTCAATCCTGTGTGCTCAGCATTTCGTAACTACAAGGTCATTTACCAATGAGAAAGAAAGGTAGGGGAAGCCTTACAACAGAGCAGATTCTCATCTGCTCTGAGGTCTAACCTTTCCACTTTCAGTTAGTGTGATAACCAGTTTCATAGGCAGTGGGTCAATATAACCTTTACAACCACCTATTAAAAAAATTACTATTCTAAGAAAATTACTCTTATCATTCCCAATTATACGATATGACAAAATCAGGAATTGGAATCTCTTGGAATTTGGGCAGCTTGTCCATGCTCACACAGAAAAAAGCAGATTTGTAAGTTCAGTCAAGGCCATCTGCTTCCAAATCCTGCCTGCTTTTTTACGACGTCAAGCTCATAGGTGAGAAGGGTTGGGGGGGGGGGATGGCAGGAAAGAGACTTTTATAGTTCTGCAAAAACTTGAAGACCTATAAATGTGCTGTCCCTGAGCTGAATACAAAGTTAACTTGGAATTCTCCACCTGTATCCAAAGCAGTGTGAACAGCGAGGGTGAGAGCATGCGGCACACGGGTGTGCCCCTGGTTCACCCACCACCCTGTGGTAGTTAGCTTCCAGTTACTGGCACAAGCTACTTGAGAAAATTGACTTGAGGCAGGAAAGGCTTACTTTCGTTTATGGTTCCAAAGGATTCAATGTATGGTCAACTGGATCCATTGCTTGTAGGTGGCAAAGCAGGAAGACCTTGGTAGAAAGGCATGATGGAGGAATGCTGCTTGCCTCATGGTAACCAGGAAGTAGACAAGAAAGGGACAGAGAACAGGATATTCCCTTCCAGGGCACACCTCCAGTAAACTACTTCCTCCCTACGTTCTATCTCCTAATTTGGCCACCTCCCAAAAATACCATCATATTCTGAAACAATCAGAGGATGAATCCACTCATTATAACAGAGCCCTCATGACCCACTTATCCCTGGAAATGGCCTCATAGACACACCTAGAGGTGTGTTCTACTAATCTCCTGGGCATTCCTTAATCCAACCAAGTTGAGAAGACTAACCATCATACTTAATTTAGTGTTCCAGGTACAGGTCTTGGGTATAAGGAACATAGCCATTAAGACATGTGGTCAGATTACATTCTGAACAGAGAAGAATTAAGCAATAACATGCTGGCAAATTAATAAGACAAATTCAAACCAGATGTGGTAGCTAACACTTGTCATCTCAGCACCCAGGAGATTGAAAAAGGAGCATTTCCATGAGTCAGAGGAACAGAGGCCAGCCTGGGCTATATAATGAGTTCCAAGGCAGCTTGGGCTACAAAGTAAGACCCTGTTTCACAAATTAATTAAAATATTGCTTAGTACTCCAAAGAGTAATAGTGATGCAATAGGATTCTATGAAGAATTCTGATTGCAGTCCTAGGAAAGGCCTTGGGGTGGGGCGGGGGGGGGGGGGGGGGCAAAATTTGATGCTGTGTAGGTTGGGTATGGCAGGGAATGTGTCCACTATAAATATTTACTAGTTAAATGGCTGGGGGAAGTGATTGAGTGGTTTAGTGACTAGGTGGTTAAGCAGTAGGTGCTAGGTGTCTTGGGGCCTAGGTATTTGGCAGCTTAAATGGTATAAATGCTACTAGTTGATGTGGAAGTTTTCCTGCTAGTTAACTTAATTCTATTACTTTGATCTCTTGCAGATTCCTGTGTTGGGACAAACTGTAAGTCTAACATGTCTCTTCTGATTCCTGGGCCAACAATACCATTTGCAAGGAAGACCCAGAGCAGGTTCCATCATCAGAGTCCCTAGCTAGAGTCCAGGAAAAAGGAAGAACGGGACTCTTCAGGCTCAGGCTCCAGGTGCTTCTAGTGTCACAGGAGTCTCTGCAGGATAGCTCTGAGGTCCCTCATAGTCTCTTAAACATGGCTCTAGCTGCTGCCTCTCCTCGCAGTGTGGCTCTGTGGTGCCAAGGTTTGGACTCCTGTCCCTTGTCCAGTCAGGGAAGCCCCACTTTTGTCTTAGTCTTCTTTCCTTCCTCAGCTTCTCTGCCCTCCATTTCTTCCTGTCTTGTAGCCTTCATGGTGCTTTCCATCAAGCAGAGGAAAATCTCTGAGCTGTGGACATCTTGACCTCTGTGATACAAGCTCACTCTTGGAACCGATAGGAGGGCGGTAGTAGAAAGCACTTGAACATCACTGCTCTGCTTCTAGGTGAGAGCAGGAGGCCCTAAGCATCCAGGGAGATGCAGGCAAAGGCAGGAGGTGCTAGAGCCAATGCCAGCACTCCTTATCTGACTACTTATCATGACTCTTAGACCATTTGTCTAGACACCTGAGGCAGTCTGAGCTAGTCGTGTCTTACATGTCAAAAAGTTACAGCCTGGGAACAGACCCAACGCGCCTGCCCTACAGATGATGGTAGATCTTTGGGAGCCTTTCTCTTGTCCACATCAGAGCTCAGAGAGGACAGACAGAGAAAGCACACCTCACCTAGACGGATGGAGGGTGGAATTCCCTTCTCGGGGTAAAGATGAACGCTAGATCTAAGCTAGGAAGCTTAGACCAAAAGTTGGGGTTTTTTTTGTTTGTTTGTTTTGTTTTGTTTTTTGCTGTTGTTTTCCTGGTGGGTGTTTATGTCGCTCTCATCAGGCATAATGACTGAAGAAAATGCCACACTGAGGGATTTGAACCAACAGAGGAAGGTGGGAACAGAGTCAAGAGGAATGAGGTCAGACAATGGGGAGGATGAAATCAGCTTGGAAAACTTGACAGTGTGGTGAGGGAAATAAAATGGGAAGAGGAAGATGGGAGGGAAGAAAGCCAGGAGAAGGCACGGGGTGGGGGGGGTGGATTGGGAGAAGCAGAGGACTAAAGAGAGTGGCCAGGAGCAGACCAGCAGAAGAAAAGGAAGTTGAACTCTTGCCCTGCCCTGGTCTAGCATGAAGACCCAGAAACAAAGGCACTGTGCAGGAGTCTCCATCCCTAGTGTGAGGCCTACATCTGGAACAGAGAGAGAGCAGTAAAGCAATGTGGTACCTGTGGTACCATTGCTGGTTCTGTCCCCATATCTCACAGCTAGGGTACATCTCCAAGTCCAGCCAAACCCTGTGTTTGAAGGAGACACGCTGACTCTACAATGCAGCGCAGTGAACCACACACTGTCCCAGGTGAAATTTTATAAAGATGGAAAATTCCTTAATTTCTCTGTGGACAACAGCCCTCTGTCTATAAAGTCAGCAACAGTGAGAAACAGTGGGAATTACAGCTGCAGTGGGAAAATGATGCATTTTGAACAAGCCTCAAAACCAGTCATGATCGAAGTCCAAGGTGAGTCACCAGTTAGAGAAGTCTGGTTGGAACAGTAAGGTACAGTTCAGGGATCCTGAAAGTCAGTGGCTCTCTAGGACCCCTTACTCTAAATGATGCTGAGCCAATCCATCAGGTCCTGAGATATCCACACTGATGTCCAACATGTAGCCAGAGTATGCAAGGGTTTTGGAAGAGCCCGGGGCCAGCATATCTACCCATCTTTCCCCTCTGAGGACCACAACCAACCACTAAGGGGGGGTCTTCTGGCTCTGACTTTCTGAGGTTCTCCCAGGACCTGGCTTTGTAGGAGTCATTATAGACTCACTGCATGAGGACAATGAACAGGCTCTGAGGATGAAACTGTGTGTTTGATGCAGAGGGTCTCACAGCGGTAGCTGAGTGATGCAGAGGTCAGTCCTTGGCCTCCAGGGCTATGCTGTCTGGGACTTTCTTCCTGACCCTTGGGCTTGTGTCTCCCCAGAGTTGTTCCAGACCCCTGTGCTGAGCTCTGTCCTCCCTCCATACTTCCAAGAGGGGAGACCACTTGTCCTGAGGTGTCAGACAAAGCTGCACCCCCAGAAGCTAGACCTGTGGTCCTTTTACTCTTTCTACAAGGACGGTCATGTCATGCAGAACAGGAGTCACAACCCAATACTCCACATCCCAGAAATCAAGGAGAGAGACTCTGGGCTTTACCAGTGTGTGGTGGCCACTGAGGATGGCCTAATCCAGAAACAAAGTCAACAGCTGGAGATCCAAGTACAGGGTAAGTAGATGAGGGAAGAGAGACACTCCTCAGGGGTCCAGACATCAGGCAGCAGGCTTCCCTGGAAGTAGGTAAGGAGTCCCAGGGGAGAAGGTATCCTGGATCCTGGACAGTCAAACTGACTCTCCCGTCCCATGTGCCATCCAGTGCCTGTATCCCATCCTGCGGTTACTCTACGACATGAAGCCACAAACCCTGCTGTGGGAGACAAGGTGGAGTTTCTCTGTGAGGCCCAGAGAGGCTCCCTTCCAATCTTCTACTCATTCTACCTTGATGGAGAGATCCTAGGGGACTCCCTGGCTTCCGCTGACAGAGTCGCCTCCCTCCTCATCTCAGTGAGGTCAGAGTGGAGTGCTCAGAACTATTCCTGTGAAGCTAAAAATAATGTCTCCAGAGAGAGGAGTGAGCCCAAGAAGTTTCCCTTGGTTGGTATGTTTTTGTCCCACACGGTCTCTGAAACCCAGATCTCACTCCTCTGTCACCTCCCACCACACCTAGCATAATAATGACTTATGGCAGGCTCTACTTAGGGGTCTACAGACCCCAATCGGAATGTCTATCCTCTGAACTGGCAGAGGGTGGGGAGCTCCCTGGGGGAGGGGTGACATGGCCAATAGTATGATCAGTCGCTAGCACCCTCCGCACCATCTTTCTCTCCCACTTACAAGGCTTCTCCAGGCCATGTGTTTTGGTTTGGGGGATTTTGTTTTGTTTTGTTTTTTGGGTTTTGTTTTTGTTTTTTGTTTGTTTGTTTGTTTGTTTTAAGCTGTCCATTGTGTCTCCTTTGGAATGTATTTCTGAATTTCTAAAATGCACATAGTTACTTCCCCATTCACAGGTTCTCAAGTCTTGTCTGCCTGGACCAACAGCAAACGGTCAATTGCCTGGACACTTGGAAGCCTGCTGGGTGGGATAGTCCTTGCCACTGTGTTTCTAATTCACTTCTTCAGGCCCTGTAAAAAAGACGGTTAGTAACTCTTTTTTGATTCCTTACTTGCTAAATCTCTGGCATTCGCCAGCCTTTGACGAACCACAGCCTGACAGACATAGCCATTCTCTTTCCCTAGTCCCATGTAAGAAGTTTTTTTTTTCCTCCCAAGTCCCACAAAGGAGCACTCAGAAGGACACAGAGAGTTTTCAGTATACACACAGAGATACCCAGCCTCACATGATCACAGTCACAGAGATACAAACCCACTATTACACATTCAGGCATGAAAGGAAACATGAACCAAAGAATTCTTACAAGACGGATATGATTTATATTGGTGGCCTTCACATTTGAAAGATAATCTGTGGCACTGAATATGACGGGGGATAAAAAGCTGAAGAAGGCCTTAAGCCTCTCTTGCTAAACTCAGCCATCCTCACGTCTGCTAAGAGATAGATAGTAAATAAGAGCTAGGATGCACAGGTCCATGCTCATACACCCACCGTGGACAGTGTGGTACCCAGGGTGAGTCTTCATTGGATACTAACACATCAGAAGGGAAATATGATAGAGAGGACAGATCAATGCCCAACTCCCAACCCTGCCACTCTGTAGCTTGATCAGAGCTCTCTTAAGAGTCATCAAATTATCTCCCTCTCAGGGATAGTATGAGGTTTTAAATTAATCAGATAAAGTATAGCTACAAGTAATGGGTTCAAGTGGTACATCGTAAGTGGCTGCCTGGTAAGGTCCCATTCTGGGACAAGCAGACCACGCACCAAATCCCTCCAGTGTTTATCTTCTGAAAAGGCTGGTTAAAATTCTAACATGGATAATTCTGTAGAGAAGAGGCACAAAAAAAAAAAAAAAAAAAAAAAAAAAACAGATGCTTGAATTTTTGAGTTTCTTTGTAACTTTTGATCTCTCACTTTTCTCCCTGTCTTGGTGATGAATGCTGGCTTTCAAAATAATCACTTTGTACATCTACATGTTTATTCCCCCTTGAAGCCCCATTTACTTCAAGCCATACTTAAAGGAATGGCTATCAGTTTCAAGGATGTTCGGTTCCAATTTGTTTCTAGGTCTTTAAATGTTCCTATAGATATTTAGATCAACCCACCTCTCCCTCCATGGGGACAACATTCTTATCTTCTATTTAGTCTAGGGCGAAAGTGATTGCTTTAATAGACTTCTAAAGCAAGACGTATTTATTCAAGTTGGTAGCTCCTTCTGCCAAGAAAATTTTGATGAGCTTTCCGGAAGCTCACTTATTCATCATGATAGACCATCCCCATGAATCCAAGAATCTGAAAGGTGTTCTTTCTAAGCCCAGGACCAATTTCTTCCCTCACTGGATACCCAGTTAGGGTGCGGGCTAGCGTTTAGCTTCTTTTCCAGGATAGCAGTCTTTACCCATCCAACTTCCCATCCCCTCCTTCTTTCTCATCTAAAGTCTAGAACCTGTCCAGGTGACATTTCCTTTAGACATTTCTGCATGGTAAGAGAAAGATGGATTCGGCTCCAGAGGTGGATGGGAAGATCCCAATGCTTAATTCTTCCTGTTTCCAAATTAAATGGAAGTAAAGGGGTCTACACTCTCTTGGGGAAGGGCATTAGCCAAGAGGTGGGAGGAGATGAATGCAGACAGCCTGACCTGAATGTTTCTCTTTCCACAGCCAGACCTGAGGAGCTCCCCACAGAAGCACAAGTAAGCAGGAATCCCTGCCCTTCCTAACCGTGTCACGTGTCTTTTTCCCTGTACTGACCTAACTTTCCTGCAGGACAATCACATCTATGCAACGGTGAAAAAACCATCGAAAAAACCACAGCTGGGTGAGATCTCCACTAATGATCTGGGCCCGGCGGCTCCACCAGCCAAGAGCCCCTTGGTGTCTGATGACAGGATTCCCTGTTAGTGCAGTGCTCCCTCCAACATGTACCCATGTCCAGCCTCCAGCCCCCCAGTGCTCCCCAGTTGCTCCCAGCTCTTTCTGTGGGTCATCCAGTTCCTGGGCCCACAGGGAGGGAGCCCCTGTGCCCTATTCCTGGCCAGGGACTTCTGAAATGTGGGTTCTCTTCTGAGTGGGAAACCAGGCAATAGCATAGGAATGAACAATTCCCACCTTCACACACACACACACACACACACAGAGAGAGAGAGAGAGAGAGAGAGAGAGAGAGAGAGAGAGAGTTCCAGAAGTAACATTGGACCCAGAGCCACAGATCTCTTTTTTCAATGCAAATGGAAAAGGGTTTTTCTTCCAGATAGACAGATGATAGATAGATAGATAGATAGATAGATAGATAGATAGATACACACACACACGCACGCACGCACGCACGCACGCACACATACATACATACATACGAGATGATAGAGATAAATAGATGATAGAGATGATAAATGATAGATGCATAGATGGGTATATAGAGATAGATAGATAGATAGATAGATAGATAGATAGATAGATAGATAGATAGATAGATAGATAACATAGGTAACATAACAAAGGATAAGATAATAGGTAAGATACTAGGTAACTAAGTACAGACAGATGTGTGTCTGTTGATAAATACACACAGATAAATAGAATATGCTTGCCTTTATCCTGAAAGGGAAGTATGAAGCTGTGACTACAGGACTAAAAGACCTCTCAGAAATCTCAGAAACCAAGGTCAGCCAGCAAATGTGTTGCCCAGATAATTTCATAGAATCTTGGCAACGGAGCCAGAGCCTTGAAGGCAGCAAGGACTCTCTTTGCCTTCACCTGCAGTTCTGAGCAAGTTCAGCTGGGAGACAGAACTCAGCTTGCCCAGAGCTCCAGATTGAAGAGTGCACCAGAAAAGTCTGTCATTGCTTTCTTGTTTGTTTTTTAATGGTTGTAAATCTATTTTGTTAAAAGAACTATGTACATCTGTTTCGTGTTGTTCATGTCGGTCATCTGCTGTGAGGCATCCACACTCAGTAAAGGATCTGACACACGTGCTCCTTTAGACCCAGCTTTACTGGAATCACAGACAGCAGAATCTGACTTACCTACAAAGGAGGTAAATCAGTGTTATCCTCCAGGCACCGCAAACCTGCTAGCATCATACACAGTGACTCCCCAGGCTCCCCAACATCAACACGATTGTTGTTACCTGGTGCTTAGAGAAAAGCAGCTGTTCAGACCCAACCCCAGACCTGTTAGATGACGACCTGAATTTCAATGCGATCCCTAGGCAATTTGCAAGTGCTTTCAAGGGGGCTGATCTGTTTACACGACACATTATGGAAACGCATCCATCCCCTTAATTGCCTATGGTTCTGCCCTGAAGATGGGGGAACTAGAAAGACCGCCCAGGCTATCATCTACTTTTTCACTTCTATTCCCTTTTCCTCCTTCCCTTCTCCCACCCCAACCCCTTTCCTCCCTCATCCTGGCCTCTCTGATCATCAATCCTATCCATGTCCAGGCAACACTGAGCCCCCCTCTCTTTGCCACTCGAAGAGCCTGTCCAAGCCAGACATTCTTGAGGCAGAGGACTCCTATGGATCAGCCAAAGTGTGCTTGCGGACCCAAGCCATTGCTACTCCCTTGATAGAAAAACTGTCCCCTTAATAGAAGCTCAAAACATAGATGTGTCAGTCATGAAGGAAAACACTGTTGCTAAGGCCCTGGAAGCCTCCAGCCATTCCAGTTGTTCCCAGGGACCACAGACCACCTCCCTTCCTGAGTTGTCCCACTTTCCCTATACTAGTGACCCAGGCTGGTGCTGGTCTGTGAATTGCTTTCAAGAAATCTGTGATAAACATAAAAGTTACCAAAAATATTTAGAAACTTTTATAGCAATCTGACGGTAATTTTATGTTTGTTTAATACAGTCATAAAAAATTAGAGCTTGTATTTTGTAGGTATGCCTTTTCATTTTGTCTTTCTAGCAATTTGCTTTTATTACAGTCTACAAAAGTACAAGTCTACAATGGACAGGAAATTTTAAAAAACTAAAAACAGGTTGTTGGTTCAGACGCATGCAAAGCCCATCTACACACACACACACACACACACACACACACACAGGCTACTCAGGAACTTTGCTCTCCCTGCTGTCTTTACAGCCCTGTGTGCCCAACTGAAAATATCCTTTTCCCTTGGTTTAGAAAGGAATAAACGGCAATTTTTTTTCCAGAAGGAACCATTACAAAAAAGAAAAGAAAATTCCCCCAAAGTGCAGAGAGTAGAGCTATCTCAGGGTGCCCATACTTTTCAGCCCATACTATCCCTGGTTTGTGGGGTGTTAGCATCCAGACCAAGGCCCCACATCCAGTCTGTGGGGGGAGGGGAGGCATCTCACAGGGGAAAAGGGACACCATCAGTTCTCAAGGGACAGGCCCTGTTGGCACTGAGGAAGGGAGGGCACTGGAGAATACTGGGAGCTGCCTGGTGCCACCGGCATCTGATGTCACTAGTCACAGGACTGCCCACCTGCAGCCCCACACATTCGGTACTACAAAAAATCTTTTTCTCTCCAAGTCGGAGTTAAATGCAAACCTTTTATGCATGTAGATGCATGTGTTGAATGTGCCTTTTTCTAGTGACCCGGGCTCTATAGATTCATACTACCTAAAGGACAAGGCTTCAGTGTCTGGGTGGAGGGTAGTGCAGCAGCATGGAATTGCTTCTTAAAGAAGGGAGAAGGAAGCTCGATGCTGGGAGCCTCGTGGCTGCCCTCTGCTGGCCGGTCCCTTCAGTACTCAAAGTTTATGTGCTACCTACACTAGCTCTGACCCTTTCACCGGTAAACTACATTTTAAAATATGGGGACTGGGAGCACAGCTCAGTTGGTACTTGCCAGGCATGTACAAAGTCCTGGCAGCACCTCAGAAACCCAATGTGGCATTGGGTACCTGAGGTCTCAGCACTCATCAGGTGGAGACTGGAGGATCAAAGTTTAGCATCATCTTCTGCTACATTGTGAGTTCCAGAATAGTCCTGGCTATATGGGACCCCATCTCAAAAGTGTGTGTGTGTGTGTGTGAGAGAGAGAGAGAGAGAGAGAGAGAGAGAGAGAGAGAGAGAGAGAGAGAGAGAGAGAGAGAGAGAGAGAGAGAGAGAGAGGGAGAGAGACAGACAGACAGACAGACAGAGAGACAGAGAGAGACAGACTGAGAGACAGAGAGAGACAGAGACAGAGACACACAGAGAGAGAGAGAGACAGAGAGAGAGAGAGAGAGAGAGAGAGAGAGAGAGAGAGAGAGGTTTTGTACATGGCTATACAATTTTGCAGGACCAAATGAAAGCAAGAGGGTTTCGTGCCTTGGGATTCCTTTCAATTCCAGGTTGGTTTAGATTTGGCTAAGAAATAAAGTCTACATTTTTATTTAAATGAGAAACTCTGTGTCCTTTGTGGTCTCAGTTCCTTCTGAGTCTGCCTCTGCTTCTGCCTCTCACACTGCTCATAGGGCCTCAGCAGAGACCCGGTGGAGTTCCTCAATCGGTTCAGAAAGTAGCCCTTGTCTACTTATTTCTGGAATGTTTTCCACATGGAGCACACCAATAGTGATGGTCACTTTCCTCATCAACACAGGGTTGCTGCCACCCAGCATGTGAGTTCTGACCTCATGGGGATTGCACATACTGGATGCATGCGTAGTGTTTATTTGGTGCACTGGTCTGCACGAGCTGAGAACCCAACAAGTGTTGGTGAAGGGTGCATGTAGAGTTCCCCTCTCTACCTCAGTAAAACCCCATGGTGGCTTTGTTTCCTTTTATGCAGCCTTCCTTCCCATCTCTAGAAAGGTATATAACGGCCTCAAAAGCAGAGGGGCCCTAAGATGGACACCCCACCCACCCACTCTCCTGCAGGTACCCCCTCCCACTGTTCCTTCTCTCCCACTCTGTACCACGCCCCTGGTTCACTAAAGACATCATCCCTTCTGCCTCTTTACAACAGGCTAGAGCCAGGGTATGAGGTAGGAGACCATGCGGACACCATCTCAGGGGCCACCAGTAAGGTATATCCAACGCATACATGCAGAAACAATGACAGTGGCTATTTCTAGGACGTGGCCGAAGTAGTGCTTTCCCAACGTGTTTTGCCTCAGGCCCTGTCTTCCTGCCATACCACAGCTGCCCAAAAAGGCTGGCTAGGGAGGGGCTGCTGGGGCCCAGTGGCTTAGCATCTGCTAACAGATCTCGCAGGTGTGGCTTACAAGGTATTGAAAAAGAAAACTTCAAACTGGTTACATGATCTATTAGCAATTCATAGAGCAGCAACCCACTCACACTGAAGATTAGCAAAGGTGCCTGATAAACTGAGCGGAGCTGGGCTCCAGGAGGCAGAGAAGGCCAGAAAAAGCAGATAATGAGGAACAAAAAGCCAATCAGACATTTCGAAAGTTATAGTTCCGGTAAGATTGGAACTGTGCTGGGGCCAAAACAGGTAGAGTGTTTGCCTCGGATGCACCAAGCATATGTTTCAATCCCCTAGTACTCCATAAACTGGAAGTGGTGGGGCATGTCTGTAATCCCAGCATTCAGCGGGTAGAGACAGGAGGGCCAGAAGTTCAAGGTCGTCCTTTATTACCAGTGAGTTCAAGGCCAGCCTGTAACACATGAGACCCCATGAACATAAACTAGCCTCCTTCCAATGAACTGATTAAACAATGTCTTGCTTTTTAGAAACTCATCTAGTAGGAATAACCTGATGTGGTCTGGTCAGGATCTCAGCCCACAACACCCTCCTTCAAGTTTGAGGGAGCAGTAGAGTTCTGCCTGCTCTCTTCAGGCCCAGTTGTACATTTCCCCTCAGAGCTGCACCTAGAGGCTACCCGTTCCCCAGTAACACCCGGTCCTTGGTCCTTTCCCTTGACCCCTGGTTCCCTAGGAGCCTGCTGAATGCCTTTTCCTCCACAGCCACTTTGCCTTAGGCTCTTTCCCTGCCCGGCTCTCTTGTCTCTCCGACTTCATGCCTTCTCTCAACCTTCTCTCTGTGGAAGAAGCATGGCCCCATGCTGCCCCTGCAGACTGGACATTGCAAACACAACTTGGCTTACCCTCACCCAATCCCTCTCAGCCTGAATCTCTGCACCAAGCCGCCCTGGGTTTTCTGTTCGGGCAGGTTGCTGGGCCACCTGATGACCCTTCCTGCAGCCAGCAGTAGAAATGGGCTAATGGGGAGAGCCAGGCTGCACCACATGGCAGATGAAACCACTTCTCTATCCTCAGTGTGCGCAGACGCCTCCTGCCTCCATCTTCCCAGAAAGGCCCCAGGGAGACAGGAGCAGCAGCCCTGGCTGCCAGCTGCTCTCCTAATTAAGGAATGCAGGGAGTGGCCCCTTTGAACTCACCTGCTAATTTACTCTAACACACTCCCCCCTGTGGCTGGGTAATTAATGTGGTGTGAACCAGTGATTAGCAGCAGTTCTGGGGAGAACCTGCCTGCCTCAAGACTTAACCCTTCCCTGCACCTGGAATGGAGTGCCTCCTCCTTCAGTCTGCCTCCCTCCGCTGTAGCAGAAGGGAAGACTTTACCCCCTTGGGGAGGTAGGATATTTTCCAAGCCTAGCAACCCATTCTCCCGGTCAGCTGAGGGGGCGTGTTAAAGGACCACCAGGGACAGCCAACTGTGTCCTCCAAAGGAATTAAGGGTCTGGCCCACTTTGCCCCCACTCTTGCATCCCACACACTCTGCTCGTCTTGTGCACTCCAGAATCCCCCCCCCCACCAGCTGCCAGGCGCTTTCGGGTCATCACCTCATGGAAAGCCCGCGTTTGGCAGCACAGGAATGGTAAGAGTGAGAGAGGCGTGCTCTGTGCTGCCATGGAGCTCCCAGTCTAGGTGAGATCGGGCCTCCTGTTCAACATCAAACTGCCTCTGTCTCCCTCCTCAGCCATCTCTTGCCTGGCTCTGGCCACTTGCAGGCATGATTCACACTTGAGCCTCACTGTGGACCAGATCCATGGTAAATCATCAACACTAAGAGGGAGATCTAGTTCTTGAACCCCCACCCCTCAGGTGAGCACACTGAAACACAGAAGTTACTTTTCTCATGGCTTCATGGCCAAACTCGGATCCAAGACTAACTCTAGAGACTGCATTCAAAGCCGCTACCCTCTTCTGGTTTGTACTCTAAGGCTCCCTCAAACTAAGGCCTCCCAGCCTTCCACCCACCCACCCAGGCCTGGCCTTTGCCCTCTAGCTCGCATGGCCTCCTGTGCACACTTCTAGCATTGTTCTTGTGGCATTGATTGTAATTATTGGGTTACATATCCCATCTCCTCCTCTAAACTTCGAACTCCTTAAGGGTAGGGGCTAAGCCTTTCATCTCTGTGTCCCCAGCACCTGGCACCTAAATAGATGCTCAATAAATGCATGATGAATAGATGACAGAATTGACAAGAGAGCCATAAATGAGTCTCCTCCCTTGGCTTCTCTGTCCCACAGCCAGAAACTTCCAAGCTCTGCTAGAACTTTTCTGTTCAGCAGATCTATTCTCCAGACATGTCCTTCCTAGTTCAGGCCCTTCTGTTTCTTAGCTCCCTTCCTCTTCCTCCCCCAGCCTGTACTACACAAACAGTCCCCTGCCTCCAAGCAGGGATTCTTAGGGCATTGCTTCAGTCCATCAGTGGCATGCTCACCTGGTACACTGCTTATTAGAACTAAGATTCCTGGACCCATCTCCACCCACTAAGCCAGCAATCATGGGAACTCGGGTATTTAACAAGGAGAGTCACTGCTCTCGAGAATCTCTGAACGCAGTGGTCAGCCTGTGTGATCAGATTCCAATTTCCCCTTCCACTCTGCCTACTTCGGCTTCCAAAGACCACTCCCTGACCGCCCCTCACTGTTCCGGGAGCCTGCTTGGTACCTTCTCACTAAGACTCTTCACACACACAACTCTTTCCTTGTGTTCAAGGCCCATCAGAACCTCTGCCCTCCTTTTTCTCTTCATATCTAAGCCATGCTCAAAGTGTACCTGTCAGCCAATCCCTGCCCAGATCCACAGACACCTTCCCCCGACCCCTCATGAATTGCTGACTCTTGTGTCTAGAGAAATGTGTGTGTGCCAGTAGCCAGCACTTTTCCCTGCGTGTCTGTTTCTGCAGGCAGGGACTCTCCCCAACCTCTCCTGCTCACCAGCTCCCATCCTATATGTCTAATTCCTGATCCAATGATACAAAGCATGATACCCATTTAACTAACAAGTTAGACACTACGTAGGACAACACACAATGATCCACACTCAGGACATTTAGGAATCTTTCTCAAGGGCAACATCTTGAAAAACTTCCCTGCTAGGAATAGGGGTACTCAGTGGTAGAACATTCCAGAGCTTCCGATACAATGTGCGCAAATGCCAAATGGATGGTTCTAAAAAGAGGCAACCTTACCGGGATGGCCAGAGAGGAAAAGGGATGTGGGCAGCCAGCTTGGAGAAACTGAAGAGCCTCACATGCTAAGCTCGGTGTTTAGTCTTTATCCAGTGGGCAGCAGAAGGCTTTCAAAGAATTTTAAGCAGAGGAGATGATCGGAATTGCAGCTCAGAGGGCTCTCTGTGGCAATGATGGTGATTAGACACACAGCCATGGGCAGGGCTAGATGCAGAGAGGCCTGGTGACAATCTGCAAGGAGCACACGGGCTGTGTGGGTGTGCTTGTCACCATGCTTTGGCAAACCATGTGCATGAAAAAGAGGCTGACTTACAAGAATCTGCTCTTGAAAGCTCAGCTAAGCCTGGCCAGGACCACAGCCAACTTCCACTTTATTTGGGATGCTTTCACTTTCAAGACATCTTGTTTTGAGTCAAGATTCCTCCTTCTGAACATGGGACTTTCCAGCAGGACCACAGCTCATTTCGTGTGCTCATTTGGCCTAGGATATCCTGGTTTTTTGAGGGAGTCTTTGGAAGGGGATGTCGGCCATGTGGTCCCTCTGGAGTCTTCTTCTCTGCGAAGGTAAGTGGAGCAGATGGACAGATACCCTGTCCTCAGGAAGCTGAAAGCCCCTCCCCAGCCGCCCTCATCAGACCTCTAGACAGCTGCCTCTCAAAACCAAGTAAGAACTTAGAATCTAAGGAGAAGTATAGAGTGAAGCACCCTCCAGGGCAACCTTAAGTGGGGTCTTGGCTGAAATGGGGTAGCAGCGCTAGTGGCCTCTGTATCCAGGAGACACCATCTGTTCTAGAACCCAGCGCAGCTTAAGATGATGGCAGCTTTGAGAGAAAGTTGGATGCAGGGATGATGGGGGTCAGTCAGTACTGACACATGGGGCCTCTGCAGTCCAGGGAGAAGAGGGGAGGGTAAAGCAAAGCAGGCTTCCCTATGGTCTGAGGAATGTTTTCAGCAGCCTATAGGAATGCTGGGGTCCCACTCTGTACCCTGTACAAGGTGAGATGGATGTTGGGTAGCGAGGAAAGGTGACAGCAGGTTAAACGTGGTCCCTGTGGGCTTGAGAATAGTCTTCAAACGCTTGGTGGCCCTTCATCAATCTGTGCCTGAGTCTTCCTCTTTGATCAACAAGAGCCAACATGACAAGATCAGCCCCTGCAGGACCAGGGTGGAGTTCACAGACCCTCAAGACACTGTTGTATCCTTCAGGGACTCACAAGGACTAAAGGAGAACTCACTACATGCTCAGACCTTCAATCATTTTTAGAGAGGTTCTTGCTAGCAACAGCAAGCACTTATACAGCCTCCTTGTCTTGCTTAGAGAAGGAAGGTGAGAGACTGAAGGTCACACGACTGATTTGTGGCAAAGTCAGGACCTGAACCTCAGTCTCAACTGACATCCCCTGTTAACCCTGAAGCTGTGTCCTGTCAGGATGGAGATGGCTGGGCCCAGAGAGGACAAGGATGTGGATAAGGACTGGAGTTATGGCCAGCAGAGTGACCATCCAGAACAGGGCTCCTTATCCCAACTCCCAGCACTTGGATACATTATATATCAGCCCTAACCCAGCCCTGCATCCCAAAGTCTCCTATTTCAGGCTTGGGGCCAGTCTTCCACAAACTCAGTGCAATTTACTGGGCTCCTGTAGTCTGGTATCAAACTGGGGCACAGCAAGTAAATGATGAAGACATTTGCTCTGGACCTGAAAGAGTTTGTGGCCTGGTGGGAGATGTTGCTGATCCCTGATCACTGTGGGAAAGCAGAAAGAGTGTATACTTGTCGTGAGAGATGGGAGAGGTTAGAGGTGATACTTCCAGAGTAAGCAGGAACAAGGCAGAAAAGGAGCCAGGAGGGCAGTTCAAGCAGGGTTGTCTTCCTCAGACTTCAGACTCCAAATGGTCCTCAGAAAACTCAGCATCTTGCTATCTCATCTTCCACCTGTCTCTGTCCTTGTCTCAGAGCACAAATAATGATAGGCAATGAATCCCGAAGAATCCCTGGGTACACTCTCTGAGTTTTCTCCTTCACTCTCCAGACCTAATCTAATAGCACAGTTTGCTAATTACACTATTAATCTCTCTGTCTCAACTCTCCCCAGCCCCACAGTTCCCTTCCCCTGTTCAGGTTTCCATCACCTCCCTCTTGTATGCATATAAACAGCCTCAGCCTTCCCACACTTCCTAGGCGTTCTCCATGCCTCCTGCCATGACCATTAGGCCGGCATTTCATCATGTCACTTTCTGGTTTAAAACCTACTGAGAGACTACATATAGGAGCACACAGACACACTCGAGTGCCCTCCCACACACACACACACCATTGTTCTGGAATAAAAGGCCCAGAAACCAATGTTGCTTCATGGTACAGTGTGATCCCAACTCTTGGCAGCCTCGCCCACTTACTTCCAGTCCACAGAACCGCTTTCATTTCCCCATGCTCTCTCTCCCCCTTGTATCCCTCCTGGTGCTGTCCCCTCAGCCTGTAGCACACCTCCATCCCTACTCCAGCAGCCACTGCTTGACTGGCTGACTCCTAGTCCTCCTTCTGGTTGTTTCTTCTCTAAGGTGGCTCCAGGCTGAGTGAGGACCCCTACTAACCTATTTGTGTTCAGCCACTTATTCTCATCATGATTCTTAATTTATTTTGGTGGCTGGCTTGAGGTCTGGTTTCTCCTTGAACAGAGACCAGTTTCTCTTCCTGTTTGGTTCCCCCATCCATGACACACACTACTACACCCTCAACTCGGGGTGCAGCTGCTGGGTAGTGAAGGGGCCCTAATTCAATTCCAAGCAACTCAGATGTTTGCCAGGAGTAGACAAGATGCCTACGCAGGCACATTCACGGTGGTTTCTGTCCTTACAGCACTCCTTCCCATTGTGGTTATCAGTGTCCAAGTGCTAAGCAAAGTGGGGGACTCGGTGCTGCTGGTGGCAGAATGCCCTTCTGGCTTCCAAGTGCGTGAAGTCATCTGGCGATCTCTCTGGCCGTCAGAGGAGCTCCTGGCCACATTTTTCCGGGGCTCCTTGGAGACTTTGTACTACTCCCGTTTCCTGGGCCGAGTCCAGCTACATGGCAACCTCAGCCTGGAGCTTGGACCTCTGAAAAGTGGAGACAGTGGCAACTTCTCTGTGCTCATGGTGGACACAGGGGGTCAAACCTGGACCCAGACCCTCCATCTCAAGGTGTACGGTAAGTGTACCCAACACTGGTTCCCTGACGATCCTCCTGCAAACTACCAGCCGAGCATCTGGAGCCATGGGAGCTGGGGAGGACTAGAATCCAGAAAGGCACGGCCTTTGGCCACTTTGCTAAGTCACTCTCTCAAAGCTGCTCCCAGCAAGTCACATCTAAAAAAGCTTCCTACACCCTTCCCAGGTGAGCAGCTCACGAAGAAGCCGAAGAAGGCGCAGCCGCTTCACCAGCCCACCAAACTCTCTCTACTTCCACTCTCAGCTCGTTTTTTCCTTGACTCAGCAGGCTTGGAACTGATACTTACCCACCAGGCTGTCACCTTTTTCCTCATTGTGCCATGAGCCTTATAATACCCACCATGTACAACACCCGTGAGCATGAAGCACAGTGGTGTGCAGGGCAAAGTGCGACCCATTGTGAGGTAGCATCATAGACTACATGTGGCACTATTATTTTAATTACCACTAAAGAAGGAAAAGGAAAAATGTGGCAAATGGCATAATTAGTTTTTACTTAAAAGCTAAATTCAACTTGAACTGTAATTAATTATAGAATTTTGTTCTATATTTCTGTTTTGTTTGTTTTTGTTTTTGTTGTTTTGTTTTGTGGAGTTTTGTTGGTTTCTTTCTTTCTTTCTTTCTTTCTTTCTTTCTTTCTTTCTTTCTAAAGTTAGTGCTAAAGATTCAACCCAGAGCTTTGTACACACTAAGAACAATTCTACCAAGGATCTAAACCAACCAACCCTCCCTCACCCCCCCAACCCTGCCCCAACCTTACTTTTCCTAAAAGATCCTTTACTGGGTATGGTAATACGTGCCTGTAATCCTAGCACTTGGGAGTCTGAGGCAGGAGGGTTGCTGTGGGTTCAAGGCCAACCTGAGCTGCATTACTTCAGAGCTAAAAATAGTCACTATTTTTATTTCTTAGCGTCCATGGGGTGGGCTTTGCTCCACAATGCCAGCATCACCGTGTGCAGCTGTGTTTATCCCTGCAGCTGGAGTGGATGAATTGGCTAAGGATGGGGTGAGGATAAAATAAGCTTGCTCTCTCAGGCTCCTCTCTCTCTCTCTCTCTCTCTCTCTCTCTCTCTCTCTCTCTCCCTCTCTTTCCCCCCTCTGTGTCTCTCTCTGTGTCTCTGTCTCTCTCTCTCTCCCTCTCCCTCTCTCCCTCTCCTCTCCCTCTCCCTTATTCCCTCTCTCTCTCTCTCTCTCTCTCTCTCTCTCTCTCTCTCTCTCCCCTCCCCTGTCTCCATTCATTTCTGTTGCTCCAGGCCTTTTAACTCCCATTCATCTCATCTTCCTAGTGACTTGAGACAAAACTGTGAGTGGGGCCCACACCAGTATTTCAGTAAAAACTCAAAAGATGTTAAAGGTTGCAGGGAGTCCAAATTTAAGAAAGGAAAGTGGGAATTGAGGCTGGAAAGAGGATGAAGAGGAGATAGAGAGCTTTCGTGTGCTGGGAGGGTTCTCAAAGCCCTGGAGTGAGCCATCCAGGATGCTAATTTACAGCTAGAGGAAGCACTTCCAGAAACATGGAGGCCTGAAGCAAGTTGTACATCTCAGCAGGCAGAATGCTGACTGGGTTTCAGCACTCTTTAGCCCCTAGCCCAGTGCCCTTGTACAGTGAATGACCTCCACAGCCAGGCGGGCTCTGGAGCCTCTCCCTACTCCGTCTCAGCTGCTGCACGTGTAAAACAAGGACATTGAGCTTGGTAATGCATGCAGCACCCACACCACTAAGCCCTAAAATGCCTTGTTCTCAGTATCTGAATTACAGATTTTAAGGAAATTGCTGTTTTATTGCTTCCAAATACATAGCGTGATTAGAACTAATTGCAGGAAGCTGCCAAGCAGCCGTCCTTAGGAGCTCGGCTTTGACAATAGATAAGAATGATTTGAATTAGCGGATCGGTTACCAGAAATGTCGATGGGTGTTTCTACTGTGCCTGATCGTGTTTGGAGGCAGCTTGTCCTCTTAAGTGGTGTAAATATCCCCCCTGTAATCTCTGTTTATACTATTAGTATGCCCAGCAAATCATTTCTTTTTTCATATCACAAATCCCACCAGATTGAGCTGGCATTAACGAGGTTTTACTCTGCTTGACTTTGGAATGCTGTCAGAGATCCGGCCCTCCTGTTGTCACTGTAATGCTCTCCCACTGGCCCCATTGCTAGAGATTCGGGATTTACTCATCAATCTATATAGGAATGAGGAGCCACTGCTTAGCATGCCAGGACACTAATTGGTTAGCAGCCCAGGTACCAAACACCAATTTGCCAGCACAAGAGAGCCAAGGTTATGCTGGTGAGAGAGAGCCCCTCCTCCCAGGCTCCTCATTCATGGCATTTTATGCCCTTACAATCATTTTCTTGCTCATCGTCACGTGTTAGTGTCTGTCTCCGTCACCAAACTGAGAGCTCCCAAGTGCAGGAATGTGTGTTCTCACCTGAACTAATAAATGCTTGTCATCCCTTGTTGACTGACTGGCACACTGTGAAAGAAGTGCTTCCAAAAGACATGAGCAGAATGAATGCCTGGAGAGTGGAGTCATACCTGAACTATCACAGTCGAGGCATAAAGCACTGTATCTGACTGGGGAATGGGGGGCGGTCTTAAAGGCTGCATAGGAGGTCCCTAGGTGGGCCAGAAGGGAAAGAAAGAATAGGCCAGGCTTGGTGGCACACCTGCAATTGCGACATTCTGACAGTGAAAGCAGGAGCAGTGTGGGTATGAGGACACACCACAATACAGACTAAGACCTTCTTTAGAGGAGGCAGGAGCATTTATGTGCACAGATGAGCCACACAAAAGCATGCAACGTCTGAAACAGCCCTCACGTTTGGGAGACCTGCAAACCAATGGAATAGGTGAGGAAGACCAGCAGAGAGTATAGCTGAAGAGGTTGACGCAAATCATTGCATAAAACCTTTAGCTACCAAGCTAAAGAATCAGGCACGGGAAGAAAAAAATGAGATCGAAGACCCAAAGAGGCATCTCACCATGCACAGAACCTAGACACAGAGCTTGGATTCCGCCCAGCAGCCCTCTAACCCACTCTGCTCTGCTATTCATACACAGATGCGGTCCCTAAGCCCGAGGTTCAAGTGTTCACTGCTGCAACGAAAGAGGCTCAAGCCCCCCAAACCTGCCAGGTCTTCTTGTCCTGCTGGGCCCCCAACAGCAGTGACATAACCTATAGCTGGAGACGAGAGGGGACAATGGATGTTGAGGTGGAAATGCACAGCCTTTTCTCAAATAGACAGGTGTTAAGTGTCTCACTGGGACTGAGAGACAAAGATGTGGCCTACACCTGCATTGCCTCCAACCCTGTCAGCTGGGATACGGCCACGGTCACTCCCTGGGACAGCTGCCATCATGAGGCAGGTAGGCCAAGGACCAGTAACCTATGGTTTAGGGACTATGGTACATCAGACCCATCTCTGACTCTACCCTCCATGTTGCAGCCTCCGGAAAGGCTTCCTACAAGGATGTGCTGCTGGTGGTCCTGCCAATCTCACTCTTCCTGATTCTAGCTGGTCTCCTTGGGGCATGGCACCACTGCCCCTGCTCAGGTAATCTTATAAGTGCAGAACATGGGGAGAAGGGGTGGGAATGCTAGGAAATAGCTGGGGCTAGACCTCCCGCCACTTAGATTTAAAGGCCGGCCCCTTTGCATCTCCTGTCTCGTGTCTTGGCCCTCCCCTTACACTTGGGTCTCCAACCAGACTGAACAATTTGATTTTTCTTCAGCAATTCTTCAAATGAGCGGCTGGGTCACATTCCCCACAGGGCTGTGCGCATTATATTCTCTCTGCCTAGGGCACACTTTCTGTGATTTTTTCCTTTCCCTATCAGACTGAGTCTTCAAGGGGAGTGTGTTCCAGGAAGCCTTCCCTAACTCCCCCTCTATATGTCTACTTCAGTTTAATTAATATCCTTCCTTTGATGACCTTCGCTTACCCTATCCCAAGGACCTGTCTCCTCCTGTTGACTTTTGAGCCTGACCAAAGCAAAGGCTGGGTCACGATGGGGCACACTCAGTGGGTCCCTTGAGCATCCTGGCTCCTAAAACAGGAACAGCAGTGGTGAATAGTTGTTGAGAAAAAGGATTGATGAATCCTACTCACTTCTTGCCAACCATTCTTAAGAAAAGAACTCCTGGGAGAAGCCCCACCCCCAGTGGCTGATAACTCCTTCAGAAAAGTGGCGAAGAAAACCTGGTCAGATCAGATTCTAGGCTCTACGCACCGCACAGATAATTATTCCTGCACCTGCCCAGATGCCCTTACCTTGCCCCTGAAGGGACATCTCAGATGACAGAGGCTCTGTGGCTGTTTTCATGCTGAGCTTGCTGACCTTGCTATGTTAGTTGTATCCTAAAAGACTGGGGTCTTATTCTGTGACAAGGCATTGGATCCAGGGGTGACAGATACTTGTGCATTTTTCTCAAGGGACAGGAAAGTTGAGGTGTACGTGGACAGTTTAGACTGCACTCTATTTAGCGGTCCTGTCTGTTAAGAAGAGGGTCTGGTCCACAACCTTTGCTCCCCAAGATCTGTGGTAAGAAGGTAGGAGTCAGGAAAAGAGCAGTTTTTAAAAACTATTTTATTGAGATACAAATCAGACATTGTACAATTCACCTCGTTAAGGTGCTCAATTTAATGGCTTTAAGTTAATCCAGAGCTTTACCTCCAAACCACAACCAATTTTAGAACATTTCTATCGCCCCCCCCACCAAAGGAAGACTATCTATCACCACTTAGCCAACACTCCTCACCTCCCCTGCACTACCCCCAGCCCTAGGCAACCACACATCTACTTTATCTATTCTGGACAGTTCACAAGAATGGAATCCCACTATGTGGTTCTTTGTGATGGCCTCCTTTCACTTACCCTAGCATTTTAAAGGCTCATAAAAGAGCTGTGGCCACCTGGGATAATGTAAAAGCTCCACACGGTGTGTTCAGGGGCTGTCCTACCTCTGCCACATGACTTCTTGTCATTCAACCAGGCACGGCACAGCCCTAAAACTCATAGTGTTAACATTAAGAAGAATGTCCTGTCCTTAAGAGAAATCTCCTTTTCCAAGATTTTAGAAAATAAGAAGGGATGATTGGGTTCAGGACATCTAGTATTCAGAGCCACAGGCTAAGTATGCCAAGACTCTGAACACTGAGGGGTAACCTTCTAATCTCCTCACCAGGAAAAAGGAAGGATGCTGGCACTGACAGAGTAGTTCCGGAGACAGAGAATCCCCTCGTGTAAGGTGTGCCATGAGAGACAACATAGACTGATGCTTAGACCAACATAGACCATGATGAGACAGACACCCTGCCCAGCCACATGATGCTCTGCACCTGGAAACTTCCCAGATCCTCGTAACTTCCACAAGTCTCCTGTCTGCTGCTAAAGAACAGCCAAGGAAGCCACCATCACCCTGGTTCCAACCTTCTCCTTCTGTTTTGCACATGCTGGATCTTCTCTGGGCAAGGTGGACTAAGAGGTTGCTTCCTTAAGAGCCCTGGACATTCCCCAGGATCCACAGAGACATTGTTTAGCCAAAGCATTCTTTCTTGAGCACCATATAGAAGGAATCATCTAACTATCAAGAGACTGCCTCCAGGCCAGGTCCTGGGACCTAAGAGATATCAGATGTTTGAATTACTGGGGAATTGAGCTAACCACTGCCAACTCCAACCTCAGCCCCTGGTGTCTAAGATCCTTGGGTGCAAGATGTTATGATAAGAAAAGTTGCAGAACAAGGAAAGGTGGAGGGCAGGGCTTTTTGTTTCTGACCTGAAGGACTTCCGGATCATCTGAGTTCAAGGCTCCTCAAAGGTAAATTTGAGGTTATTAAGATGATGAAGGATATGCCGGGCATTGGTGGCGCACGCCTTTAATCCCAGCACTCGGGAGGCAGAGGTAGGTGGATCTCTGTGAGTTTGAGACCAGCCTGGTCTACAAGAGCTAGTTCCAGGACAGCCTCCAAAGCCACAGAGAAACCCTGTCTCAAGAAAAAAAAAAAAAAAGATAATGAAGGGTAGCTGACATGCCATCTTCTGATGGAAGCAATTTTTTTTTTTTTGAGGCAGGCTTTCTCTGTGTAGCAGGGCTAGCTGTCCTGGAACCCTGTAGACCAGGCTGACCTCTAACTCACAGATGGGTCTACCTCTGCAGCCTGAGTGCAGGGGATCAAAGGTGTGCACCACCACCTCCCAACCGAAAGCCATTTTTCTGGTAGCACCCTATTAATAGATACCTTCCTCAGCATTAACTCTCATGCCTCCTGCATGATCTGGGTGGTGTTTGAGAGTCTCTCTATACAGTCTACACAGTTACCAGAAAGGAAAAAAAACAAAAACAAAAACAGAGAGTTTGACCCAGCAGACAGGAAAGCCTTGCACAACGGCTAGAGAAGCAGCTAAGTTCAGTCTAAGTCTATCTTCCTGAAACTGGGAGAATAAAGAGCCATGGAAGGCTCTTTACACTCGAGGAAGACTGGAGGGAAGGGTACTGTGACATTTCAGAATCTGCCACATTCGTTTTCATTTGCAAGTGTAGAAGATTCTCCTAAGTTCAAGGGGAGAGCCAAGTCCCTACCACTCAACCGTAGGATTGTAAAGGTTGCTTTGACCACTCAACTGTAGGATCTTCAAGGTCACTTTGACATCCCTCATAGAGGATATTGTTATGGCCATCTTTGGAAAATGCATCCTGCCATTGAATAATTCTGTTTTGAAAAGGTCTTGGCTGTTTATTGCTGCTTGGGAAAACAAAACACTTGATGAGTTAAACTTATCCTCAGGGAATAGTAGCTACGAAGGTTCATGCTTATTCCCATCCAAATGGAATGGGTTTTATCCTGGGGTCCCATCCAGGCCTTGATAATAGAGAGGAAGGAGGTGTTGAAGAAGCAGAGACAGTTTTGAGTATGTTTCCTAGGTGGCTTCAGTCTCTCCACCCAGGAAGTCAATCCTGTCCTGACACCTTTCCTCCTCTCTCCAGGGCCACGACGGTCACTTTACCTGGGACAAATGATGGGCAAAATCCACTGATTCGTGTGTTCACATTACAGACTTCTTCTTTTGTACCTTGGATCCGCTCTTGCTGACTTTTCTCAGAGGCCCCTGGCTTTATATAATTCTTTCCCTCTCCTGCAGTCACTTTTCCTCTACCTCCTTTCCTCTAACTCCCTCCTGCAGAATGCACATGCCCACTCAACTGGCAGCTTCGCTGCCCTCCCCCGCCACCCATAGTCATTTCTCACCAAGTCACAGAAAACCAGCCTGTCCCTGAAAAACAATGTGAACAAGGAAGCCTGGGATCTAGCAATGAGCCATGGAGGTTTGGGGATGATAAACACACATTGTCACCCACTTTTCCTCCCTTTATCCCCACAAACTCACCTCAAATCAAGCATAGTTCTCCTCTTTGGGAGGTGACTTTTATCTGCCTTGTATAGACAGTGATTTTGAGTGAGTTGTACCAGGGCCTCTTGGGACAGGCCCACGATGCTCAAAGAAACTACCGTTCCCATCTGCAGTGACTCACTTGTCAACTAGTAGACTTATTATCCTTCCTCTAGAAAACACAAAGTGCTCATAGAAGACCAATCTTATTCTAAGAGACATTGGGAAAGAGGCTTCAAAAGTTACACCATCCCGAGTACAAACTGAACGCTCAGTGTAGGTTGAGAACTCCTTGAGGCACTGAGGAATCGGTTTCGGGTGAAGCCAAGTAGAGTCCCATGTTCAGTGGCATATAAATAAATTGATAAGTAAATGCTAGGTGCAGACAGGTTCTGTTTAAAAGATAAGGCAGGCTGGCTTTGTAGTACAAGCTTAGAGACGTAGCTACTTGGAAGGATGAAGTGGGTAATTCAAGGCCTGCCTGGACTGCAGAGTAAGTTCAAGGCCAGCCTGGCTGGTTTAGTCAGAAACATGTCTAAAAACAGAATGCAAAAAGATGGGCTGTGGGATTAGATCAGTGGGAGAGTGCTTCCTGGCATGCCTGAGGCTCTGGGTTCAATCCCTAGAACCACAGAAAAAGAAAGGAGGGAGGGAGGGAGGGAGGAAGGGAGGGAGGGAGGGAGAGAGGGAGGAAGGAAGGAAGGAAGGGAGGAAGAGACTAGGCACTGATGTGTGGGACAGAAGACTCATCTTAACTAAGATGGAATTGAGCACTGGCAGAGAGCGCTCTCAGCACAAATCTTACAAACCCGTTAAGTGGAACCATGGTTTCACAGCCCATAGAGACTGGGTGGCCGTATCGAAACAAAGGAGAAATAAGGGAAGGGAACATTCCCAATGAGACTGGCACCTTGACCCACTGGATGTTCTAGCATGCATATGGTCAGATTAGAACCCTCTCCAGACTGCCTTTTCTCTTCCTTGTTCTTTATCTTCAACAATAGCATTTGAGCTTATTCTTTTTCTATAAAGGATAAACACAAGATCTGCTGAGACCAAGAGGTCAAATGACAGAATGTTAGACTATAGTTGAGCATGGTAGCTCACACCTGTAACCCTAGCACTGGAAAGGCTGAAACAGAATTTCTGGGACTTCAAAGGCTAGCCTAGGCTATCTAGTGTGTACCAAGCCAGCCTGGACTACAGAGCAAGGGTAAGAGTATAGCACAGGAATCAGATTGAAGAGAGCTTCATTTCCTTTATGGAGACTAAATACTCAGTGCTTTAAAGAGGGGGAGAATGGGGAAAAAGAAGTGTCTACATTCATCACTGGCATCCCCAGCAAGCCTTTCTTCCACATTGACGACCTAGTGCCTGCACCATGTTAACCAGCTCTGACTGATCTCTCAGGGAAACAACTGTTCCTTCCAGACTTGACCCATTGGCTCCTTGTATCTGTTTGGCATGCAGCCTGAGAGAAAAGTCTGTAAAGCTCCAGAATACAACCTCCCTAGGTCCGAGAAAGTTTTCAATGGCTGTCTCTCCTTTAGGCTATTTGATGTTGACAATCAATTGCCAGGAGAGGCAGGCTTAGCCTATGAGTGGGTAGTAGGGATATACTACTGCACAGCTAGCCTGGGGCTCCCATTCCAAGAGGTCACACTTTTAGGGAGACACAATAAACTTTTGTACCCAGAAGAGAATGGCCAGAATGCTGAGAAGTCTAGAAACCCTTGTCCTATGGAGAAATGATTGAAGAAACTGGTTGAAACAACAACAAAACTCAGATGGATGCAGGGTTACAAATATTTGAAGGGCTCTAACATAAGCCCATACTGTATAACCAGAGCCAATGGACCATGTTACCAAGATGTAAATATTGACCCATGTGAAAAATAGGATGTCACAGCTAGGGGGCAGGTTCGGCTTCTTGGGTGGAAAGCTGAAGCCAAAAAGATGTAATTAGTCAATGCAAAGTCAGAATTAATTCTAAAATTAGTTTCTAAATCATTTCGGCCCTTCACAATGCACTACACCACCAGGAAAGAACTTTTAACTGGTGATGAAATACAATTATGAAATGAACTGTTTCAACAATTGTGAGTAAGCAGAAACTGTCTCAGAGCGAGATCACAGAGTAGAGATTGTTCATAACAGGAAGCTGTACTAGGAGTGACAAATGCATTGCATGGATATACAAATTTCTGTCTTCCAGGGCCATGTCAGGCCCAGCTAATAAATGCTAACACACTTTTCCCACTGAGTCTGGATGCAATGTTGACAATACCCCCACCAATCAAAGCTGATTGCCAGGATGAAAACTGTTTGCTATTCCTGCCCCTGAACAATCTATAGCATCCTTCCACTAGTGAGAATTCATTACAATTTAAGGGACAAATGAATGAATAAGCAATGAGGTGAAAGAGGCCAGGGGAAGGGCTCTGCTAAGGAGTTGGAAAGCAGCCATGCTTTGTGGAGGAAGATTTATCTCGCTTCTTTTCTTCTGCCATTTTTCTCAGCATGTTGCTTGGGGGAAATATCAGCACTGTAAAGGGAAAGTGATGGGAAGTAGTTACACTATTACCAAGAAACACAAACCAGCAATCATACAAACAAGTGAATAATACACACAGCCATTGAAACCGTCATGTTTTTAGAATGTCTAAGAATAAAAGAGAAACACTGGCATTAGTCAGGATTCTTTGGGTCTATGCAAAAGCAAAAACAGCAACAGCAAAACAGATCTCTCTCTCTCTCTCTCTCTCTCTCTCTCTCTCTCTCTCTCGCCTCAAGTAAAGCAAATAAGGAATCCATCCTAAAGTTGTGGGTTGCTCAGAGATCCCAATACTGACCAGACTTGGGGTTGCCATAGAACTATCCTCTTGTACTTTCTGCACTGCAGTCACGAACTAAAGAGTCAAAAATCAGTGGCATTAGATCATCTTACTGAAGCCAAAAACATTCCTTTTGGGGACAACGGAAAAGTGGTATGTGACATCTTGTCAGAAACAATAGTTGGTTTAACAAAATGAAGTTTAAAAAAAAAAAAAAACAGCTTGAACAGGAATCTGTGTAACAGGAAACATATCCATCTGCTCATTCGATAAGCCTTACTAAGCATCTGCCACACAGAGGTCTATCAGTTACTAAAACACATTACAGCCCTGCTCTCAAAGGGCTCATGATCTCATTGTCAACAGCAGTACCAGGACAGCTTTACAGCATCCTCCTGACCCCAGTGAGTTCAAAACTGCTTCCTGATCTGTCTGACCTTTGTCCCCAGTAAGGGCCAGTCCAGGCCCTGGAAGAAATGGCAAATGGCAGCTTTGCCTGGAACAGCTGCCGGGTGTGGAAGACTGGGTAGCATTGTGATATCCTGGGCAGGTCTTCCCAAAGCAAGGACTCTGTTCAGCTGTGTTCCCAGACTATGGAGAAGTCCCCGGCTGGTGGGTAACCTTTAGCTTCCCCTCCCAGTGGGGCAGAAAAGGGAGAGTGGTGCTGGGGCCAGAGCCACACTTCCAGGGAGGGGTGATCCTGTGACCTGGGATTCTTGGACTGAGACACTGTCACACTCTGTCTTGCCTTCAAGCCCATCACACAGCCTTCCTGTTGCACTCTTTTACTGGGGCTACTCAGGGATCTCCATA